ACGCCAAACCGATATATATATATATATATATATATATGGTGTGTGTGTGTGTGTGTGTGTATACACATACACAAGTATTTTTTTTGTGTGTGTACCTTCATATTTATTCTCTGGCTCTCCGCAAACTTCTCGAACGTTTCCTCCATACATTACTGGAACTGGTCAACCCTTGTTTTTTTTCTTTTTCCTGGCTTTGAGGTAGACCTATTCCTGAAGCTGACATCACTGCTTTCTTGATTCTCTTCTTGATCGTGAGCGCTGTCTTCACCGCTTAAATCGCCGACACTTTTACCGGGAACGGGGGTGCACGGCCGGGCTTCGTCTGTGTCGCTGGCCCCCTCGTCACTGTCGACCGGGGTCGGATTCCGTGCATCTGGTAGCGAGCGTAGCGAGGCCACTCCCCCGCAAGCGAGCATTTGCTCTGGAGCAAATTTAACCCAGCTGCGTTCACACGTGCACATTTGTTCCGGCGTAGCGTCGCAAACGAGCATTTGCTCTGGAGCAAATTTTTAAACGACCTCCCTGAGGTGGATCAAATTTGGTCCAGTATAAGCTCTTTAGCGGCGCTACGCCGGAACAAATGTGCACGTGTGAACGCTCGACTGGCGCAGCGCCGGTGCAGCGTCAGACCAAATGTTGCCGTGTGAACGGGGCTTTTGTCGTCCACAAAATCTGCAACATGTTGATTCAGTGTAGACCAGGCAGAAAAGCGCCAACGTACCGGTGGTTCAAAGCTAAAATCAAGGTAACTAATCACTACCGAGGGGCCGGACCGGGGGTGCGGTATGCAAATATCGGGGGCAGTGTTTTTCTTGTATTTTGCATATGTTACAATTAAAGTTCGAACTCGCGGAGGGGGGGCCTCTGAGTGTTATTACCGGGGCAACAATCGTCGTTCGCCCTCAGATATCCCTCCCGCCGATCTTGAAGACAAATTTCCCTGTGTGCCGAGTCATTTCTTTAACTTTGTCCGAGAAAAACACTGACAAAAAGAGAGGACCATTTCTTGAATTGGGAGGAGCAGTTGCTTCGAGATGTGGAATGAGGAGGACTGTGATGGGTGAATGGAGGAAAACACCACTCTGGGGGTGCTTTTGGTGAGGAATTAGCATTTTAACATGGCGATAAGCTCCAAAAGTTGGTCGAGCACTTTAACATGAACACCACCGCTAAAAGACGCTTTGTCCTTGACATGTATTTGCTTTCCGTCATTGCCAAGTACCCAAAGATGATAAAATTAAGACGGCAGGAAGTGAGTGAGCCTTTTTTCCTTCATTTTTAGAATTAATCAGTCAATCTGACCTCAAATATGAGTTAGCAACCCATAGTTCGCCTGTTTTGTCTGGCTTTGGACTGTCATAGAAAGAGTCTTTGAAAGAAAAAAGCCACATACTTTTTTAATTTAATAATTTTCATTCTGTTTATTCTTGTATTGAGCTACAGTCAAAGTTACTTAATCTTGTGATTAACTAAAATGTTCTTTATGTAAAATGACTTGAGTCCTTCACTCTTTGACCACTGGAGACTTGGACGAGACCTGGAAACCCCGTGTTTGTCATGAAGTTCCTGATTGGTGAGAAGAAAAAACAAAGGCAAATGTCTTTGTATTTTGGTTGGTCAATAACAAATATTGAATCAGAAAGTATCAGACAAAATGCTCACTCACAGCACTCATAAAGTCTGTTGACACGCTCATAGTCATTGGCACTCATCTCTGTCGCAGTGCCAAAAGTAGTGACAGCACTATCCCTGGCAACAATGGTTGGTAGGCCATTTTTGGAGAAGGCAAATCTACATAAAATAAAATGAAAGCAAAAAGAATATCATGTGTTTTTTTGGGGGGTGGGGGGTGATCAATTGATATCACTTGAACCAATACAATCCTAAACTAATATCACCACACTCTCCATTGTTTATTGAACATCGCATTGGGAATCCTTCATGTTTTTCAATACAGTACACACATATGGATCTGGATCAAGCAAATGTTAACACTGGTGTGCAGTTCCTTGTTAGAGAACGGCAAATTGTGCGTACTTGAGCTGGGGGACATAAGCATTCGATGTTTAGAGAAGGTCTGTTTCAGCTCAAGTTTAACTGTGAAGCTTATCGTTATTCCGAGTGAAACCTAATATCCCAAACCTTTTGTGAGTAGGATTGAAAAGGATCACATGTTTGTATGGCTGGAAAGATGTACTCACTCGCCGTAATGCATCACGGATTGAAAATCATAGGGTGTACCCAAGTTGTTTGTTTGCTCAATCGCAAAGTTTCTTTCAAATCCTGAATAAAAGGAGAGAGCAAAACATGTTGAACTGCAGTTAAATGTCGTTCAGTCAGATGGGAGATTTAGAAACACGATGGTGGAGATGCTATTCTGACAAAAAGTAAATGCAGTATCCATCATCCACTCTACAGTGAGTGGGAAGTCACCTGCACCCTGGACTGGGTGCCAGCCAAATCCAGGACAAAATATCTGAAGAAAGCCTGACACAATATGCTCTCAAATGACTTGCAATGCCACTTCTGCAAAAGGTCTGTTGGCAAGCTGACCTGATATGATGTTCTCAAAATTAATGATGACGTGTTCGTCTCTGTCAGAGCGGACATGCTCATGGTGGAATCCGAGTGCATGGAGAGCCTCATGTTGCACAATGTCTTTGAACACACAACCGTTTTTCTGCAAGGAGATTTGCTGTGCATTTCCTTGACGACCAAGGTAGGACCAACACCTGGCACATAAAGGCACAAAATAAAGTGAGCTCAAAAACTGGCTGACTTTCAGGATGGAGGGTGATGTACAACATATTTTCAAAATTGGAGCCCCACTGAAATTAAAGGCAGAAAGATGAATTGTTTGATTCGAGCGTTTGTCATAACACGAAACTCAAGTGAACTAAACATGGAAAAGAATCACACTTCTGATGAACCTCGTGAGGCAAATGATTTCCCCAAATCTTGTTGAAAGATTTCTGGGTTATGTCTGAAAAACAATACCCCGCAAGTGATTTCACAGTGCAAAACAATGCACAATGGCCCCTGAAGATTTGTGTGGAAACTCCCACAGCTGGTAAGCCAAATAACATTTCTACATCATGTCAAGTCAAAGATAATTAACAGGGCAAAAATATATCAAATCAAAGATGGAGAGCTTTTTTGTGCACATTCGCTGAATTGATTGAAAAAAAAAACAACTGGAGAAGTGCACTGACAGCGCAAAGACAACAAATGTGTTTTATTAACGGGTTGAGTCAAGGTCCTAGAGGTCCTAAATCAGGCATGTCCAGCTCCGGGCCTGGAGGGCCACTGTCCTTCCTGTTTTCCAGCTCTCCCGTCTGCAACACACCTGATTCAGATGATCAGCTCATCAGCCAACTCTGAAGCAGAATGAGAACGATCCTGATGGTTTGAATCAGGTGTGTTGCTCCTGGGAGAGGTGGAAAACAGGCAGGACAGCGGCCCTTGAGGACCGACTTTGCACACCCCTGTCCTAAATGCTTAAATCTCACCCAGTGCCAGAGATGAAGGATATATAGTCCCGATGTCTTCTTCTCTTCCTGACAAAGCGAATGCAGGTCCTGCGTTTTCCTCTTTTGAACGCTCTCAGGGCTCTTCGAATAGTTCTCTTCTGTTTTCTTGCTGCACACACACACACACACACACACACACGCACGCACACACACACACACACACACACACACACACACACATGCAACATTACACTGCAAAGTTTTATCGATCAAAAGTAACACTTAAATTAACCCTTGAAGGATGACTCATTTTGTCTGCCACACAAATCAAAATGTAATTCAAATAAAAGTAAATCTTACAGGGGACACATTTCTTGCTCTTCTGAATACTTTAAAATCCACAACGGGACCTCGAATATACCAAATTCCAAGATGTGTTATGGGATGACCGGTATTAAAAAAAAAAAAAAAAGTGTTTGTTTTTTTTAAAGATCCTCATGTTAAATAATCACAGTGCGATTGTTCATGACTCGCGACCATCCAAACAAGCAGGGGATGAAGACAACAGGAGACTCATACCCATCCAAAAATTGAAATAAATGTCAGCAACTGTCAAGAACGTGGTGGTGGAGGACCCCAAAAAGCAGGCAAGAGGGAGGGGCAGGGTAGACTTGGCAAAATGTATGAACAAAATGTAGAACACTGAGAAAACTGAACAAATCCAAAGTAACAAACAAAAACCCATGGCAGAGGCAAACCACTGACATGAACAGAATCAGCAACAGAAAACAATGACAGCAATAGTGGCAGCGACAGAAACAGCAGGAATGACAGAAACAATGACTCGACACTGAGTGGAAGGGCATCAAGTCTTTTAAAGTGACAACTCATGACACAATGACCAGCAGACGTGCACCTGCAGGCGGAGCCCTTCAGTGCCACCTGTTGGTCACAATCAGATCCATGACAAGCAACTTCAGTCATTCATTTTGGTCTCCAAAACCTGAAGGAGTTCATTTCATCGGGAGGAAGCACAAAAGGAGGTAAAGTCACCATTAAGTTGCGAAAGTCAAGAAAGTTAAAGTCAGGGCAGCCCATTCTAAGACAATAAGCGAAGACAGGCTCTTTTCTGCCCTCAGTCGTTTTCTGTTCACGTTCAGAGCTAATGATAACCTCAGATTACAGCCAAGTCAGCTTGTTTGTCAAAAGTGGTTTGTCATTGTCAAAAGCAAAATAGCACAATAACGAACAATGAACACATCAGCCCCAAGGCGTGAATTGAGAACTGTCTTATGCAGTGGAAACGTATTTCATTACACCAACAAATGGATTGCGCTTCAGATGCGACCAACAGCCGGGACCCGGTGACCATCGGGAATTCTGAGAAAATACGTACGGTATGTGAATTTTCTTGACTACATTTCGCCACGATGCCGCGTCGACGAAAACTTTTCAGTGTATGGCGGCCTCTCCCCTACAACCCAATTGTCCCAATAATACTTGGGAATTTTGAATACATTTGTTGTTGCCGAGCTCATTGAAATCATTTGTTTGAGTTCAAACAACACCCTACATCAAGATTTGCATGCCTTTTCAAATTAATTGGCCTTGCCCATATACAGCACAGCCCACAACCTAGTTTTGGTCCATTTTGACAGAGTGGAATCGACTGATGAGATCTGATGCTGTGGGAGACACAGTTTTGCAACAGTTCCCTTGAAAAAGTAATGCACTCTAACTCTACTTAGCTGGGTTTATGTGTGTGTGTGTGTGTGTGTGTGTGTGTGTGTGTGTGTGTGTGTGTGTGTGTGTGTGTGTGTGCGTGTGTGTGTGTGTGTGTGTGTGTGTGTGTGTGTGTGTGTGTGTGTGTGTGTGTGCGTGCGTGTGTGTGTGTGTGTGTGTGTGTGTGTGTGTGTGTGTGTGTGGGTGTGTTGTCGTTCATTTTCCCGACTTTAAAGTTGTCCTGTCAGTTGTTTCTGCAGTGTGACTAGTCTCAGCACGTTTATTTCGTTGGAGTTTTTGATCCTACATGACCAAATGCTGCACACATAGGCCTATGGTAAGCTTCATCGTTGATCACTTTTACACTTAACACTGAAGTCAGCAGATAGCAGGGGCCCATAACAAAGCCACTGCTGGTTTCAAGCCCTGGTGAGAATGGCAGGGTTGTGTCAGGAAGGATTTACAGCGTTAAAATCGTGACAAGCAAATCGTGCGAGTGATTTGCTTTCGCAACCCCTGATGAGGCAGAAAATCACAACAATAACAGCTGAGTTATGATGACTTACAAAATTCATTGGAGATTGTGTAGGGTATCTTTACTCTTCTTCGAGTTTTGGGCCATTTACAGCCTGCGCTGGTGCAAGGGACAGCATTCTTCAAAATACCATCGTCATTGCTCGTGGGAACCATAATATCCCCATGTCTTAGGTGGGATTCTGTTGAATCACAGATAGAGAACACACAAACAGTGTGATTTGAATAGATTTTTTTTATTGCTTTCTAAGTTGCCCGCATAACAAAAGATTTGTGAACACGTTGGATGAATTGTGGAAGTTCAGTTTGACCAATTGATTAATTACTTTAAGTTCAAATTTAAAAAACAATCAGTATTACAAAAAAAAAAAACTATGAGAATGCCATTCAAAATAAGATTCTCTCCTTCAAGTTGAATATTGCACAGAGAAACAGCTCAGCACATCCTAATCATTCCATTATCAAATGAAAACACTTACCTAAGACATTTTCATTTGCCTTTGCAATTTTCGTAAAAGTGGTGGTGGAGACATCTGGAAAAAGAAAGACACCAAATAAAATCAAAAAGAAGCATTTTAGCTTTTTCAGATTGAATTTAACAACTTAATTGTACAATTGATTTTCGGCACCTCTTTTCTTTCTGTCGGTTTCACTTATTGGGATCTGGAAAGAAAAAAAACTTTTTTGAATCACATTTTTTAAGTGTCCATTTTACGTCCACGCTCACATGCAATCAAAGATATATTATGTCCATTGGTCATTTTCATTTTGACCAATAATAGTCAGGACACTGATTCAAATACTTTATTTCAAGTGGTTGCATGAAACAACATCATCTGGATCAAGATCATTTTTTTAAAGTAGACGATACATCTTTAAAAATGCATCTAAATCCAGATTATTCTATTGTGTGCAGCCACTTGACAAAATAAAATTGAGCAAATTCATCACACCACTTTATTTTTTTCAGTCTATCGGTAAAATTCATAAATGTTTGTCTTCACCATCATTGATCAAATTACATGAAAACGACAGATACGACCTTCAAAAGGATTGTGATTTTCCAAGTTCAACAGGAGATAATTGTAGGTTTGTCAAGTTGATCTTACCGGAGAAACGGCCGTAACAGACAGGAGAACAATGATGACAACTGGTGTCATGGTGTTGCTGTTGTCTAAAAATAAAGACAAAACATTTGAAAAGTTAAAATCACACTGGTCTGCATTTACGTGTGTCTCAGATTGAGAGAGAGAGCGAGAGAAGTGAAAGAAAAATAAAGCAGGTAACAGTGGAATAATTTTGTCTTACGGGTGTTAGCAGGTGTTTGAGGTCGCTGATGTTTAGGCACATTATGTAGGTTTTACATTGGGTGTGTCTCTTACGTATTTTATTTTCTATCATTCCAGTTGGCAATCAAAGTTCTGATGGATGGGACTTTCCATGGTTTCCTTTTTGGCATCATGCTACTTGTGGCTGTGATGGATTGTTTCTACGTCGCGTTGTAACTCATTCAAACTTACTGCGGTCGACCGAGCCTCCAAATTGTCTCACTTTGAAAAAAAAAACAAAAAACAAAAGACGGGTGTGTCCGTGTGCGTGAGTGTACACTGCACCTTAAGCATTCTTTCAGTTTCACTTTCACAAAAAAGTATTTAAAAAATAATAAAATATAAAAAAATATCATAAAAAGACCGCTCACCTTTAACCTATGGTTGGCACATGGCGTGCTTCAACATAAGTTGTTCTTGGTCAACAGTCTACAATTGCAGCGTGTCATCAGAACTGTTGTGATACATCTTTTTTTTTTTTAGTTATTATTCTCATTCAAAGTTTTTTACATCTGTAATTCACCGATGGAACTGGCAAAGAATGTGAATCTGGAGCGCCAGGAGGATCATTTTAAAATGGTACACGTGAGCTACAATCATGATGTTGCTGCAGCACTGTGACAGCACGCTGAGAAAGTGTGTCCTATTCCTCCGTGTCAGGTCTCGACTAAGGTAGGCAATGATTTGTTTTTTACAAACTCAAAAACTCTTATATCTTTTTTATTTTTCTGTTTCTTGATCGCTATGCTCATTATGATATGCATGTTTGCAAGCATGCGTATGCGCATCGGGTGCGAACGTGTGTGTGCATCCGTGCACGGCTAACGGGTTGATCGGCGGAGGTTGGTTGCTTGAAGAGTAGTTCTACGGTCCAAAAAGGTCGGGCACCCTTTTTCTATAATAGATACCTTATGACCATGTTTCGTAGCTCTTGTTTACGTATTGATTTTTCTTGTCGGATATGGGCACCCTTTTTCTACAATAGATACCTCATGACCATGTTTCATAGCTCTTGTTTATGTATTGATTTTTCTTGTCGGATAGTATTTTCTACATTGCTAATCTTGTTCGCCTCATTGTGTGATTTTTTTTTTCGTTGCCTATTGCAAGGGCTTTTCGTTTGTCTTATTCAGTCCATGTTCCCTGTTACCAGTGCCATTTGTTGTACTTTGTCGGTCTTGCGTTTTTCTCTGATCAAACTTTTTGTTCAATTCTTATTGTTGTCTTCGGTTGTGGGATCTGATTCGTCCCAGAGAATTCCGCAACCTGACACTGTACACTTTTCGTAGATAAGTATTAACATTTTCCCACATTTCACTCTCTTTCAATACTCAAATGTCACACCTTCATCGATTTAAAAGAATATGTTCTGTATTATAGAACGAAAGCAAAGAACGAAACTTTTTTCCAGGCCAAAACATTTATTTGAGAAAGCAAAACATAAACGTCCAACCCCGCATGTCATTCAGCTTCATCTGCGCCTGGTATAGACGTTGTCACATTCAAAAAAACTAAATCAGATAGCTTTTAGAAAAAACAAATAAAATTATATTGATCAATCTATGAGGCTGGACACATTAAAAATATTTACAGAGACTCGTGTGTATTTCACAGGCGTTTGATTGTGTAACTCTCCGGGGAACACTTGTAGCATCCACGAAATGCCTTCCCTGAGAGCAGTTAGTTCATGCCACACCTAAAATAAGGCTTTGAGCTCAAAGGAATTTGTTTCTGCACTGTAAGGTGTAATTTACTAGTCTTTGGAAGTGTTGTATCTCGACCAACTTAATAATAAAGGAGGCAGACTCGGAACTCAGGTACAAATAGCTCTGTACTGTGGCGAACGTAATTCACACAGACAGTGGGGCAAATCACTGACAGATAGCAATGCGTATCACTCCGTGCACAGATACACTGAGGAGCAGGAGGGGCAGATAACTACGCCTCGAAAGTAGGTCCATACACTACACATTCTCCTTCTTCGGAGGAATACCTCATAAAACACTTTGCATGCATTCAGACATGAAATACATGAACATTTTTTCGCTTATTTTTCTTGACTTAACATCTGTGTGTGGGAGTCCATCACTCAAAACACTCCATACTAACCAAAACACGGACCACCCATATTTGTAATAGATAGTGTTATAAGTACAATCTCTTGAGAGGTGTTCTGTGCCTTTCAGAATCACGCCTCTGGACTTGCAGTTTTGACGGAATGACAACACATGAGCCGCACAGCAAGGTTCCTCGACACGCAGTGTTGGTCCAGTCTGACTGAAAGCATCACTGTGAGCTGGCCATGTCATTGTCATCTCAAACTTTGATGAGAATGTTGACTCACTTCTGGTGCTTCTTTGCATTTTGGCATCTGTCACAGGTAGCTGCTCTATCACTGTATGATGGAACACTTTTGCTGGGTCTACAGAGGAAGTCTTTCCTTCCGCTGTTGTTGCCGGTGGCAGGCGTGATCCATCAGCATGACAGTTTGGTCACTTGAACTCAATATTGTCTGAGCTCCCAAGAAAAGTGCCCAGTGTTGTAAACTGGTCATTGACATCACTCAGATTCCTTTCGAGGGGTTGAAAATGGACACCAGGGGTGAGTGGTCCGTCACTAAAGTGAACCGAGGTCCGTATAGGGACTGTCGAACTTTTTAATGCCCCACACCAGACTGAGGGCTTCACGGCCAATCTGTGCGTAGTTGCATTCTGCACTCGTCAGTGACCATGTCAGTTGTTCTGAAGGTCGTAGTCTTTTGTCTGTTTGAATGCTTTCACATGGCAGCCCGGTGGCCCAGCTGGTTAGCGCATCGACCTCATAGCACAGAGATGTTGGGTTCTGTTCTGGCTCCAGCCTCCCCATGTCTGTGTGGGTTCTCTCCGGGTATTCCCCTTTCCTCCCACATTCCAAAAAACGTGCATGGAAGGTCGATTGTCCACTCCAAATGTCTGATTGTGAGGGCGAACGGTTGTTCGTCTCTGTGTACCCTGCGATTGGCCGGCAACCGATTCAGGGTGTTCCCCCCGCCTACTGCCCGAAGACAGCTGGGATAGGCTCCAGCACGACCCTTGTGAGGACAAAGCGAATCAGAAAATGAATGAATGAATGTATTTTACTGTGAACATAAATTTTAAGTACAGAACCATACGCACTGCCAATGTGAAGCCAATCACAGGATCACTTTAAGATTCTCACAGGTGATGGGTAAAACCTTTCGTCGAACTTGACGTAAGCATGATGTAGTTTTCTTAGCTCTTCTCTGAAAACATGAAAAGAGCAATGCTCTAATGTTACAATTTAAAACATTTGCACACACTGCAGACAGTTTTTCAAGAGGCACATGTAACTATTAAACAATGCTGTAGTTTGCCATTTAGAACTGTGTGTATTGTTCTTTTATTTGTGTATTTGCCTTTTCAAACTTTTTATTGTGGTTTACTGTGAAGAACACAACAAAGAACAGCAAATGCTGCATGAAATAACAATAACACAAGTACTTCTGTCTTGGTGTATGTGGCAAATTCACAGGAAGTTTGTCAATTACTGCCCAACTATACTTGGGTATTTTTCATCGTGTGGTGTAATTTGTATTGTGTTACAGTATTTCCTTGTCTCTCGTATGCAAAATAAATAAAACGTGTTACAGCTAAAAATACATGTTTTTGTGGTCTTACTGGATTGACACCCATTAGTGACAATAGGATGATGATGGAAAAAATTGCAGTCTAATTGCATGACTTTCCCATTCTGGTCTAAAGCCAGAACAATTACTTTGTCATGAGTACATTCAATGGACTTGCGGGAACCAGGTTTACCTGTCGCCCCAGGGCCCCATTTGATGGATGCACAGGTGTGGCTCACGTTTTCGGCAATTTGTCGTTTCGTTTTCGTTTTGTTTGTTTGTTTATTGAACATAAAAACATATACAGTCATAAATTGACAGAAGTAAGGTCAGTAAAATAGTAAAAAGGAAAGAAAAATCAGTCATCATCCAACACAATTAGTATGTTCAAAGGAATAGGAAGAAGTAAAAAACTTAGCAAGTCCTACCCCAAGTTATGTATTTATATATAAATAGATCATTTTTATGTCAATCAGAAAAGAAAGAAAGAAAGAAGGAAGAAGGCTCCATAAAGGCTCATGCTTTTACCCTTAACCGTGATATTTTTACAAATATAAATAAATAGTTATTCCTGTCATTCAATTCTTCAAAGTATTTGCAAGTGATTTTTCCTCGAAGGCTACTGTTTTAACATTCTTACAGTCCATAGCGCACAAGGGTAAAAATAATTTTGCAAATGTACACACAGTAAAACATATAAGATTTGACAAAAGAACACAGCTGAAGTACGATGAGGAAGTATTGTTAAAAGTACTATGAGGAAGTAATGTAAAAATAAGTAATCGAAAAAGAAAGCACATACATGCCGAGAGTTAGTTATTAATTGTTTACTTTGCTAAGGTCTTGCAAGATTTGCTGACATCTTGCAAAATAAGCTGAAGCATAACTCATATTTTGCTTGAAAGTTTTCCTCCGATTTAAAATCGGATGTCCCCAGAAACAAGGTCATCAAAAAATATCGAACTCGAAGTTGCCTGTTATGCCTCCATTGTACAGTATATAAAAACTAAACAACATTAAACATTTCCTAATTTCACCGAGAGTTATTCATCCCACATCACCTCATTATTCATCAGCAAAGCTGTAAGTGGTATTTACAGTTGTTTACAAAACAATAGCAGTGAGTTGCAAAGTTCTCAAAGTATTTTCAGGCCTTGGCAACACTGTACAGTAATGTAAATCAAAAGATGTACATAAATATATCAATATTTTAATTAATCAATTAATCAATATTGGGCTGTTCAAAATAATATAATATATAAAGTACAGTCTCAAATATTTACTGTAAAAAGGGGTTCTCTTTATTTATTTTTATTTTTTTGGGAGGAATTAATATTCCTGTCAATCAACACCTTGGGACAATTTGGAGTGTTCAATCGGCCTGTCTTGCATTCTTTTTGGAACGTGGGATGAAACCAGAGAGAACCCGGATATACACGGGGAGGACATGCAAACTCCACACAGTAAGGGGATTGAACCCATGACCTCTGCACTGTCGTGGGTCGACGCGCTAACCACTGGAGCACCGGGCCACCCACTTATGCTGTTTCTATGTTTTATTCTTCATCATGATGCATGACGAGAGATCAACATAAATCACAGTAGAGAAACACTCACTTACCGTAGTGCATGATGGAGTTAAAGTCATAGGGAGAACCTAAGTTATTCGTCTCCTCCTTCTCAAAGTTGTGTTCCATGGCTGCACACAGAAGGAGACAAGAATACAATAGTTAAATGAAGATGCTCTTTGGCATGAAATCGAAGAAATGCCATCTTGCTTGAGTTTCCGAAACACTGAGTCGTTAAAGTTGATATTATACCGTGTAACGCTATCATACACTGTCCCTCGGCAAGAACAAAATCATGTTGAATTTATCATTTCATTCGTTACAAAAACAATAAGTTTTTTCACCTTTGATGAGAATGTGACGAACACTGGCAGCCATGCCCATTCCAGTTTGTGATGGGCCATACAACTTAACAAAAGCTCATGACTGCGGCTACATCATCCTCAACTCAATCACAAAGTGAAACAATGAGATGCAATTCAGAAAAACAGTCAGCTGACTCGACTAGACCTTTCAAGCATTTATGGCTTTCCAGTTTCAACAAAACAGGCCTGCAGAAACGTATCCAGTCTGGTGTTGACTCATTTCTGTCCAAACAACATAATCCTGAGGCAACATAATACCACGTGCGTGAAGAAGAGGTTGAGTTGTACAACTGAGTTCTCGGCCAGTTAATGTGTCGGACGGAGATACTTGGCCCTTTAGCAGTTTTCATCAATTCAGATTAGTTAATTACTGTATTTACAATAATCATAATCAAAATTATAATCATAAAAATAATAATAGACCATGTGAAGACTGTGCCCTGCGATTGGCTGACAACCAATTCGGGGTGTCCCCCGCCTACTCCCCCGCGACCCTAGTGAGGATAAAGTGGTTCGGAAGATGAATGAATGAATGAATGTGAAGACTGATCATGAGAATACATTTGTGGAAAAAATATAAAATTAATCATATTTACTCAGAGGTTTTAGTACATGGCTGTAGCTTGATTGGTTCCCAGTGCGACATCGATCAATGACAGCACGAGTGGATCTATCTTATGATGCACAGCCATGTTGATTGGCTGTGCATCTTCGCAGCCCCGCCCAGCAACCTCACTTGTGTTTTATCACGTGAGTTATTCGTTGATCCAAGTCTCATCACATGGTGGCCTAGGTCAGTGTTGTGTTTACCACACGTTAGTATGTGCACGTGTGTGTGTGTGTGTGTGTGTGTGTGTGTGTGTGTGTGTGTGTGTGTGTGTGTGCGTGTGCGTGTGTGTGTGTGTGTCTGAGAGAGAGACTCTACGTCACGGATTTTCGTCTTTTGCCGCTGGTCCCAGTCTCCATTCACCGCAATAAGTGAGGGATCACTGTAGTATGGATTTGGACTCTACCTTTGGTGACACCAGTCAGGGAACTTTTCTGATACACCTGACATAAAGTGATTTGGGGGTTTAAAAAAACATGAGAGCCATCGCTCTCTGGCCAAATCAGATTTTAAAAGGCCACCAACATAGCATCGACAGTTAATAATGCCCTGTGTGCATCTCCTTACCCAGATCCGGGGAAGAAGTACAAAAAATCTTTATGCCAGCTACGCTTCCACATGAGGCGAATGCAGGTTTTTTCGTAGAAACTGATCAAGCCGTCAATGATGGTTAAGCTCTCTTGGGAGCCTGTGGAGTCAAATATCGAACAAGAAAAAAAAATTACAACAAAACCAGAGAAGCAATTGAGTTCCAGTTGTGAGAGGAAATGGTAAATGGGCTGTCACTCCAATGTCCGCTTTGATTGTGTTTCAGCTGGGGTGAAGGGCGTTTCCCTGAAACAAGCGCACCTGTTCCGCATTTCCCCATCAAGCCTTGCCATGTATTGATGGACTGCCAAGATGCCTCGTCTCTTGTCGGATTATTGACCTCGCTCGCTGCTGTGCTTCAAGTGTTGTATTCTAGACCTTTCGATATCTTTCTTAGTCGCTCTCGTTATGTCACAGAACTTCGTAAATGTTTTGATTCTTCCTTTGTATCGATCTTGATCTTTGGTTTCGCGCTATTGGACTTTTGATATTTCGTTGTGTATTCTCTGTGTTCACTTTCACCTTTCCTTTGCAAGCACTTTTTGTTTTGTGCATTGCTCTTTTTTCCAGGCTCCTTTTGAACAGAAATTTCAGTTTGAACTTTGTCGGTGCGCTCTTCTGTAATGAATATTTTTATCGCACTTTGTCTGAACCTGCATTTCTGGAATCCAAAACATGATTCGGTTCAGTTCAGAACCTGACATCCACTGGCCCTGGGTGGGGGAACACCGGTCTGAAGGCCACTGACCACCAACAAAGAAGACCGGTGCACAGTGGCACACAAACACTTTGGTCGAAAGTTTCATGAAATGACTGCTTGGCTCAGTGGGACATCTCCATAAGATTGTATTGTCCAAAGGAGGTTGTGATATTAACATGAGGAAAGACCTCCAGAGAAGGACACATGTGGTGTAGAAGTAAGGGACTGCCGTCAAACACGGGCGTTTTTGATGAGCTGTCTGCTGGGGGCACCGCAGCATCGCAACAAAAATAAGGGGAGTAAAACAATAAAATATATATATTATGCCAGTGCTGAGTAACACATTTTAGCACTTGTGGCATCAGTCACTCATCATATGTGCAAATGTATGATCATGAGGTTTTCAAAAATAAAGCTTGCTTGTGAAAGTGTATCTTTCCCTAAGTCAATAGAAAAGTCTCATTTCAATTGAAATTCGGAGTTTTGATTTGAAAATTGATGGAAAATAATGCTGTGAGAAATTCATAGCACCATTCATAAAAAGGAAAAAGATGATAGTTTTCATGAATTAATTAGATCTAAAAATAACAGATTAACTTTTTTGATTAAGGCAGGAGTGTTTTTTTCTTCCAAAGGCCACCTGCAGAAAAATTGAACTTGTGGGGGTAGTCGATGTTTCCTGATAGCCAGTGGGTCCCCCTTCTCATGGGCTCACCACCCATGGGAGTGGCCAAAGGGGTCAGATGCAGTGTGAGCTGGGCGGCAGCCAAAGGCGGGGACCCTGGCGGTCCAATCCTCGGCTACAGAAGCTAGCTCTAGGGACGTGGAATGTCACCTCTCTTGCAGGGAAGGAGCCCGAGCTGGCATGCGAGGTAGAGAAGTTCCGACTGGATTGAGTTGGACTTGCCTCCACACACAGCCTGGGTTCTGGTACCAATTCTCTCGAGAGGGGTTGGACTCTCTTCCACTCTGGAGTTGCCCATGGTGAGAGGCGTAGAGCAGGTGTGGGCATACTCATTGCCCCCCGGCTCAGTGCCTGCACATTGGGGTTCACACCGGTAGATGAGAAGGTTGCCTCCCTCCGCCTTCTGGTGGAGGAACGGGTCCTGACCGTTGTTTGTGCATATGCACCAAACAGCAGCTCAGCGTACCCACCCTTTTTGGAGTCAGACAAACTATGTTATTTTGGCAGCTGTATCGCAAGGGAATTTTCGAGGTCGCATTTGGCATAACTTCCACCTTTATATTTTTTAGCACAACTTAAACACACTTAAGTGTTTAAACACGTAAACACACTTAAGTGTTTAAACACTTAAACACACTTAAACACTTAAACACACTTAAGTGTTTAAACACTTAAACACTTAACCACTTAAACACGCTTAAGTGTTTCAACACTTAAACGTGTTTAAACACACTTAAGTGTTTAAACACTTAAACACTTAAAGACACTTAAGTGTTTAAGTGTGTGTCTTTAAGTGTTTAAGTGTTTAAACACTTTAATGACAATAATGTGCCATTATTTGCTGTGTACTGGCAAAGTGAATAATTGTTATTTTCATGCACCCCATTATTGGTTGGTTGTGAGGAGCCACCGAGGGGCTGGCCCCCGCGGGGGAAGTAAGAGCCAGTCACTGTCTCTTCGGGATTTACGCTTTCCTCAATTGAGAGGGGAGTGGACTTAGAATTGCCTTCATAAAGGAATAGGCCCGTCTAAGAAGAGACCAGACGACGAAGGTCTACCCGCCCCGGCCTCTGCTGCCTGTCTGGCTAGCAATTCAAAGCCTACAGGTATCGGGCTTGCTGGACTGCTATCGGGAGCGGAGTCACAGGCTGGCTGCTTTGAATTCGTCCTGTTGGTAGAGAGTGCTTGTTCGCCTATAATTTAAAAAAAAAAAAAAAAAAACACCCCTCAGGAATGAACTTTCCAGCGCCAGAGTGCCGTGTGATGATGCATTGGCAGTAAATTAATCGTCATAACCTTTTACAGTCAAGGTGTCACATCAAATTCGTAATTATCACATTCGGTAACAGCAAACTGAATCAAATACGAGTGAAAAATGACACAATCATAACAGTGACTAAAAATTGACATAATAAAAGCAACGACTAAAGAAATAACGTACCTAAAACAAACATTTAAACACGATTTACATACTTTGTGAGTGCCACAATGAATGCTGGGAAAGTACAGTTTCGCGCTCAGCATTCCGCGAGCGTATGCTGGAATACACGAAGACAATTCAAATTTCGAAATGTGTACAACTTCAAAAACTTCTTAAAATACATCGTGACGATTGGAAGAAGTGGCAGAATGTCATTTAATTATTTTCCAGAATATCATTCAATAAGTAAAAAGGAGCGAGAGTGGAAGCCATTTTATATTTCCTGTGACGTCAAAGGAGGAGCACCCACCATGCCTTGCGGCACTAAGAATTGCGTTTAAATGCATGTTTTGTGACAATTATTTTCTTGTTTGTTTTGGATACATTATTTATTCAGTCGTTTTTTCTCTCTTTTCAGCATCAGTTCAGACTGATTTCAGTTTGCTTTCATAAGTTTCGTTTTTAATGTAGTACCGTGATTGTACTGGAAATTCGGATTGGAGGGGTGCGATGGCGCGGCGTGTCCACCGGAGGGAGACAAATACAGGCCTTCGGAGCTCGGGCTATGTTTTGTTTTTGCGTAGATAATTCAAAAAACGAGTTGATCGACGGAAGAACGGAGAAACAAAAAGTTAAATCATCCAACAGTTAGTCATACGAGGGGACAGAATTCTTTCCCGCGCCGTCATTGATTTTGCTGCTGGGAAGGGCTGCCCATACCGGGTCGACGAGCACAAAGCAGACCTTCGAGGATTCAAACGGATTGGAGGGGTGCGATGGCGCGGCGTGTCCACCGAAGGGAGACACTTTCAGGCCTTCGGAGATTGGGGCTTTGTTTTCTTCGGTCACAGGTGTCAAACTCAGCTGCTGGAGGGCCGCTGTCCTGCACGTTTTCCAAGTCCCCCTGTTGCAACACACCTGATTCAAATGATCAGATCATCAGCAAGCTCTGCGGAAGCCTGACATTGAACCTATTCATTTGAATCGGGTGTAAAAGTAGGCTTTTAAACGTGGTCAGGGTTTAATATTAGTGTTTAAATTAGGTTTAGGGATTCAAAGTAGGATTTCAAACTGGGGTTAGATTCTCACACGGCTTTCAAAGTCAAACTAGGTTTGGGGGTTAAAATTAGAATTTTAAACTATGGAGAGGATTTCAAATAAGGGTTTCAAGAAATATGGCAGAAGTGTACTCCTTTGCGTTTGCATGTCAAACCGGACAAGCACTTAATGTGTAATAATGTGTATGTGTGTGTGTGTGTGTGTTACATCCAATAAAAAGCGCAAAAGAATCATAAATGATGTCATTCTTTATTCAGTATGTTGATAAATATTTCCTCTGTATTATTTTTTTTTTTTCCTCATGTCATGGACATGTGCTAAACTTCGGTCACAACTTCAGACAAAGCAGATTATTTCTTTCTTTCTTTTCTGCTTTTGCACTTGTGCCACTTCTCATTACTGCGCACAACAGGCTTTCAGGAAACTCCCTCAAACAGGACATCTGACAATCAATGTCTGAGAAACTACTTTCAAGATTGATATTTCGTGATAGGCTTCTTCTGTTACTCACCAACACATTCTTATAAACGTTCCCTGTTGTAAAATCTTTGCGCACTCTCACCAGTGTGGGTTCTTGTGTGTACTTTTAAGTTCCCCCTCTGAGAGAAACATTGACCACAAACTGAGCAGGCAAACGGTTTCTCACCAGTGTGGGTTCTTGTATGTATTGTTAAGCTTCCCTTCTGAGAGAATCCCTGACCGCATATTGCACAGGCAAAAGGCTTCTCTCCAGTGTGCGTCCTTGTGTGTGACCTCAAGTTTGCCCTTTCCGAGAATCTTTGATTGCAAACTAAGCAGGCAAATGGTTTTTCACCAGTGTGGGTTCTTTTGTGTGTTTTTAAGCTCACCTGTGTAGAGAAGCGTTGGCCATAAACTGAGCAGCCAAAAGGCTTCTCTCCAGTGTGCTTTCTGATATGTGTCCTTAAGTTTCCATTCTGAGAAAATCTTTGGCCACATACTGAGCAAGGAAAAGGTTTCTCACCAGTGTGTGTTTTTGCGTGTGTTCTCAAGTGGCCCCGATGAGAGAATCTCTTACCGCAATCTGAGCAGACAAAAGGTTTCTCTCCAGTGTGTGATATCATGTGGCTTTTCAAAAGTGACTTATACACTTATACGTTTTTCCACACCGAGAACATTTCCAGCGTTTGTTGTCGGTGCGCCGTGTCATTTGGTCATCGTCATCCTCATCATCATCATCAGTGCACGGAGACTGCGAGGTGTCGTCGCTCTCCGACCACGGTGCTAACAGGCCGTCTGCTTGCGATCCTCCACAGAGGTCACCATCACCTTCGGTTGTCAAGTGTTGCCTCGGGCAGCCGCTCAGGGGCTCCGCCCCTCCATTCTCATAATGACCATCTTCGCTCTTCAATGGGACACCAGTCGACGTCAACGCTATGATGTCATCTACCTGCTCTTCCTCCTCCTTTTCGATGTTGGAGAGCTGCATCTGCTGTTCCTCTCGAATGCAAAGATGCTCGGACGCCTTGTCTTTAATGCCAGGCATCTGCTGCTCACGGCTGAGGTATTTTTCACCTATGTCTGCGGGACGCAAGAAGGCAACACTCCAATTAGCATTAGCACCGTTCGCAGGAAGGAACAGCACACCTTTGTCAGATGCTCATTTGAAAATTTCCTACTACAACGTCACGATGTGGATTTGGACTCGATGAATTATTCAGCCCCAAAGGAGTGTGGAAGCGATCCTAGAGTACTTCTTTGTGAGTTTTTGCGTGATGAGTAACCCTAAAATTGCAGGCACAATGAACATGTCAATGCATCAATGCATGTTTCCATCACCCTAAATCAGTGCTTCTCAAATAGTGGGGCGCGCCCCCCTGGGGGGTGGGGGGCGAGGCTCGGTCAAGGGGGGCGCGTATGGCCTTGGGGAAGAGGCTTTTTTATTTGGATTTTTTTAGTGTCCTAGAATAAAGTGCAATTGCACGTCCACTACATTAGAGGGCAGTGGCGCTCTTATTGGCAACGTGTGAGCAGGGAGCATTTACTCTGTGTTTTTTTTTTTTTTTGGAACTGAGCATGCACGCTTTGCACACAGCAAAGAGTATGAGTATGAAGTGTAGCAGCCCTTCAAGTGACACCATGGAAAACTATTTAACAGGGACGAGAAGACAGGCGGAGAGAGACGGAGCTAAAGAGACAAACGAAAGTCTCCCGAAAGCTAAAACGAGGAAATATGACGAAGCGTACGTAGCGCTCGTCCAGCATGAAGCCAAATAAATGACGGTGTCACCCAGGGGCGTCACTAGGTTTCAAGAACAAGGGGGGCTTAGCCCCAAGAGGAACAGAGCCCCTTTAGGGGGGGTCCGGGGGCATGCCCCCCCGGGAGAAAATTTTTCTACATTCTGTTAAAAATCCATCATTTCCGTCCACTTTGAGAGCAAAATGAAGAGGCTATGAAGAACTACACACATCACATTAGTATCCTCTTTTCTTTGATGGGGCTTCCTCCCCTGGACTTTAACTGGACTAGATAATAGAAATTATAAAGAGTTCAAAAGTTCAATCTTGGTTGTTCAAGGGAATTAGAAGGATGCCAGATAACATAACCTATATGACAGTAGGCCTATATTACTCTCTACCAAAATGTATAAATATATGCTTAGCCCCCAGAAGACTATGTATTTTGAGATGTCTGCCGTGATATGCAATTTAAG